TCTCTGCTCCACCATTAATCTCCATGGGCTGCAGAGAGACAGCCTGCCATCTCACTGCAGGCTGTAGGGGAATCTCAGCTCTGGCACACCTCCTCCCCCTCCTTCACTGACCTGGTGTCTGTGTACTTGTTTCTCTCACATCCCACTCCTCTCTCTGCTGTTGGGAGCAGGGAGCTTTGGAGAGCTCCAAGCCATGGCCACCACCCTGTGCTGCTGGGAGGTGAGGGTGAGTGGCCCAGTGCTTTCCCCTGTCTCCACTGCAGAGTCCCACATGGTGCAAGTTTCTTTGTCACTTGTTAAAACATGTTGCTCACAGAGGTGCTGGCTGGCTTGACCCTGGCCAGGGGGGTCCCCCTCAGCAGGTCCGACTTAGAGCCAGGGAAGCTTCTAGCAGCTCCTTACAGGAGCCCTTTTTCCAAACCCAACACACCTGTGTAGGAAAAAGATCCCAGTTTGAATATGTAGATACATTCCTGGTTTTGTTACCAGTTTGGTGACCAGTCAATCTTGTTTGTGTTTTTTCTGTCAACTTTGCAGTGGCTTTTAGTCACCGTTGGACTAGAGGGTTGTGATGGGTCCCTTTGAACCAAACTCTTCTGATTCTCCTGTATCAAATGATGGTTGCTCCTTTTCATCGGGGCACACACGTGTGATGTGGGCCAAGTGGCTCAGTTCCTCCTAAAAGCAGTTAGGTTGACCTTGCTATCTCTTACATGACTTGCTGCCTTTCCTTTCCTCTATCCACCATCTTCTCCTTGATGTTCTTTGAGGAAAAAGTATTTTTGCCTGGGGGAGGAGACCAGGGAGTAACTAGTGCTCGTTTTAAATCCCTGCAACTATTTTGGCTTGCATTAGTCATTGAGCAGCTCTGTATTTTAAAGAACCTTGAAAAGGTTGTGTTATATTGAGAGTCTGATGTGTATCTTTCTGGTGCCTCGAAATATTTTTAGGATTGGACAGGGCTGGTTTTTGTCTGTTGTTAGAATAACCTCTGGTTTAACCCAGGCTTTAAAACAGCACTTTTCATTTTGTGTGTGAATCTCAAAACTTTTACTGAGCATTAAAGATCGTGGTGGAAGATTGTGCTTAGAACCAAGGTGACGTTGGTTTTGTCGACAGAGGGTTTCAAAATTGTGCCTTTACTGAAAGCTCTTATGGTCCTGAATGGTTTTATAATTAACTCTGCACTTAATGTACGAGGCTTATGGACTGTACTGGCTGGAACAAGGAGTTCTGAATTCAAGACAAAACATGCTCTAGGAGGGTTTGCAGCTCTCGTAGCTCACCTCTCATTGTTAATAAAAGGACTGGCTGCGTGGTTGGTGTGTGTTTTTTTTTTGTCATGGTTACTTCAGATCTTGGCAAGTCGTGTACAATGTATTTTTCATGCAGAAGGCAAGGAAGAGCCCTTCTGATTATTATTTTTTTTTAACTGAATGATGCTAGATGTGCCACTGCACGCGTCCTGTAGCTGAAGTACAGGATGGTAGAGCTTTTCCTCTCCAAATTCTTGAGTGGACAAGCAAAGGTGCTGAGGTATAAGCTAGAAAACCCCTACGATACATTTTTCTACTGTAGTTGCTGATGTATGTGCTGCTCTTTGGGGGTTCATAGCAAAAATAGCATAGGATTGTGCACTAACATAGTTTAGTAAACTTGGCTGAATCGTTAGAATTACTTAAAGTAAAGCAACTTGGGACGTGGCTTCTGTTTTGAAGCCGCAGTTTGTTTGTAAGCAATGTGTTTTTGGTAACGAGATGCTGACGAGCATTTGTGTCTCTAGAGAAGAAGAGGAACGTCTGAGAAATAAGATCCGAGCAGATCATGAAAAGGCTCTGGAAGAGGCTAAGGAGAAGTTGAAGAAATCACGTGATGAGATTCAAGCCGAAATTCAGACAGAAAAGAACAAAGTAGTGCAAGAGTTGAAAAAGAAAGACAGCAAGCCACTGCCCCCCGTTCCGTTACCAAATCTGATAGGGATAAACAGTGGAGAACCAGCAGACCCGGATATCCGAGAGAAGAGGAACAAAATTAAAGAGGTAATGATGATGATGATGATGATGTGGTCCTACTCGTTCTTGTATCTGATAGTTATTTATTTGGCGTTTAGTTGCTGTTTTGATTAATATTGAAAAGAAAAGAAAAAAAGGACTACAAATCTTTTTAAAGAACAGTAAAGTGCATGTCAAGTATTAATGAACATCAGCATGATTGCATGTTTTTTCCTGGTGTTGGAGTGTTAATGTTTCACTGGGTAACAACTTAAAAATGATTTCAAGGATTTCTTCAGTGGGTTCAAAGTGGGTTTGTCATTAACACATGGAACCAGCAGCAGGTGCCTCTTTAAAGCAGAGCCTGACTCTGTCAGGTTCCATTCAAAGGGTGGGATATGTTAGTGTGTCACAAGATATTCTAAATGTTTAAAAAATGGATTGAAAAGATAGGAAGAAAAATGACCTGCTGCTAAGATTTGCAAATTACTAAATCATCATGTTTTTATTGAATTATTGAGTAGATTGCCTCATTTGCCTGTAAAACATTCAAACTGAGACACTGGCTTAGGCTGTTGGTTCTGCAGAAGCTTGTGCCATGGGAATTGCTGTTTCTGGTCTTTTCCTTTCCACTCCTGGCTGGCCATGAGATTCGGTGCCCTCTTTTGCCCCGTCAATGCCAATTTCCTGTTGTTATTGTCAGGTATTTTTCTGAGTCTGTACTTCTAACTAGTATGGCAGAAACATTGTACAGGCTTCTTTTTCTCTTTCTTTAGAGTCACAGAATGGTTTGGGTTGGAAGGGACCTCAAAGATCATCCAGTTCCAACCCCCCTGCCATGGGCA